AGCCACAGCCTCCCAAACCTTGTATCTGTATTCCTGGAGAGGTTTATATCCCGAGCAAAGGAAGAGCAATGCCATCAACAACAGCATTAAACAAATAAGTGTCATTTTCTCAACACATGAAAACTGCTTACAGTTAGTCACTGTCTTAACTAAAGGTACCCACACACTGTGCAGTATTATAAATCAATCATTACAAGCCACACTGTGCAGTGTGGATCTCATAAACCTGGGTGGGACATGAAGTTTGAAGCATGTGAATCGTACAATGATAATGATCAGCTTTTATTCCTCTGCTGTTGGTGTCCATACCGAATCATCAGACTGGATTCAGACTTGATAACAGCTGGCAGCTGTCATATAACAACCTGCTGCAAGAGCTCTACTAGATCTTCCTCTTTATTGGAACTCCTAAAAGCCAGATACTTCCATCATTTCTCTTTGTTTTGTCGCTTTCATGAGTGTTGGTGCTCAGTTGATCAGCACAGCTGATCATCATGCTCCGTTTCTGATGGTTGGTTAATAGATGTTGATTGCAGCAGCAGGCACACTGTGAGAGGATCACCCTAAATTTCTGGCATTGTAATGATTTTATCTCAGACCGTCTTTGTTTACAAGATTACTACAGCCAACCTTTTAAGTTCTTCCACTGTTTAAGATAGGACAACCACATTAAACACAATCAAAGCTATCACCACCATTTTTTCTTTATCTTAGATGGCCCACAGTCAAAAAATGTATACGCAGCTTAATATCTGGTTGGGTTAATACCCACTTTTCTGTACTACAACAGCTAACTTTATCTTTCAACTGTGCAGTGTATGACAGCAGTATACAGACTTGTACAAGGATATTAAGTTACATTAACATGGTCTTTTTCAGGTTCATATATGTATACCTGATACCTGACCTCTTCTTCCTTACCTCTGCTTTGTTGTCTGGCCTCTCTCTGGATGAATTTGTTTTGAAGCGCCCTTTTCTTCTGTACAGAAGGACGAATGACCATATCAGTGAATTATTACATGAAAACACTAAAGACTTTTTTAATAACAACAATAAAACTGAACTGCTCACCTAATGAATATGATCCCACAGATGATTATGACAGCCAGAATTAGAACAGCGATTAATGCAGCTGCAGCGATTTTTTTCCATGAGTCTAGGAAACAGTGACAAAACCGAACATTTGTCACTGGATTACAAGATTTGGGATCACATAGAAATGGAGATAAAACATTTAACCGATCAGACCAAAATCTTCAAATTAACGACTCGATTCTGAATCTAATTCTAACTCTAAACTTTAACAATACTAAAACAAACATTAGGACATTTTAACAACTCCATTGTACTACTATTTTGATTGTACCTAATGCCAGGACAACAACTGTTTGTGTGTTAAAACATGCAGATCTTGATTTTTACTGACGTCGACCTCAACCGACTCAACACTAAATACAGAGAAAACAGGACAGTAAGACTTGTGGTTAGCATTAGCTAATGGGACTAATGGGAGGCCACTTAATTTCATCTAAAAAGCTCCACAGCTGCAAGTAGCAATGAAACTCTATCTGACATATTTAGGACAACGACCGTGTCTGTAGACTGGCAAACAGTGAAACTGCTACACACTGATTGCCAAACCTGAGAGTTTGCTCATATCACTCTGGTCACCATCCTACAAGATTTCATTTACTCTCTTTCAGTTTGTATTTAGAAAATGTCAAACACATAGACACAAAGCACCACAAGATTTCTTTTTAAGAAAAACAGAGCTGGATATACAGCAGCATTGACTATGACAGCATGATGAAATAGATCATCAAAAATCAGCCTGGAGAACAGATGAAATATTACAACCCACACTTGGTATTTTTACTTGTAAAGAGCTCTTGTAATTATCATTATTCAAGTGTTTTGTATGGAATGTAAGAATGTCTCTCGGGTTGTTTTGTGGGTGTGATACAGTAATATATGGTCTAACAAAACAAAACCGATAAAAAGGCATTGTTCATGAACGCTAGTGTTAGCGGCGCTAACGGCTGCAGACAGGAAGATACTGCCAGCACCGGAAACGTGCTCGTCATCTCCGAGCATGAAGTAAGGAGAGCCTTCAAGAGAGTGAACACCAGGAAAGCAGCAGGACTAGACGGCATCCCAGGTCGTATCCTAAGAGACTTGCGCATACCAGCTAGCTCCTG